CCACCCAGCCTGGCCTGGGACAATTCCAGGGATCTAATGTAGGATATCATGAGGAAATATCCCAATTTACCCAAAAATGAACCCCAAACCCCAGCCCAGCTCTGGCCCTGCTGGGAAACCTCGTGGAGCAGGGCCTGAGAAACCTGGAAAGCCAAAGTGGAGCCTTTCAGGAACGGCCCTGCTGCACATCCCAAAATTCTCTTTCGCTTTTGGCTCTCGGAAGCCGCGGCTCCTACACGAGCTGGAAACCACAGCCCACGGCACAGTGACGGGGCAGGGCTGGAAAACACAGAGAGAAATTGGAAATTGAGGCGCTGCTGCTATTGGGGCTAAAAGAAGTCTCAGGACACGCCACAGGCTTCTTATAGGAAACAGTGAAAATACAAAGAACCTGAAAATGCAATATAAAACTCTTGATTCATCCTGCTCCCTTCCAGTTTGACAGCAAAAATCCCAGTGACTTCATGGCAGTCCCAATGCACAGAAAAGCTTTCTGCAGCCTTTTGGGGCAGCTGAGAATGGCCACCAAAAATAGGAGACCATATTGGAATATTGGTTGATTATTCCAAATATTTCTGCAAAATCAACCATTCGGGCAGGTTTCACACAAACATTCACTAGTGAGAGGTTGTCATTAGAGAATCAGAGAATCGTGGAATGGTTTAGGCTGGAAAATATCTCAAAGTTCCTTCAGTCCAACATCCCCAGCCCTGCCAAGGCCACCCCTGAGCCCTGTCCCCAAGTGCCACCTCCCCAGGGCTTTAAATCCCCCTGGGAATGGGGACTGCCCTGGGCAGCCCCTTCCAGCCCTTCCCATGAAGGAATATTCCCTGATATCCAACACGAACTCCTCTGGTGAAACCTGAGGCTGTTTCTTCTTGTTCTGTCATTTTTTTCCTTGAGAAGAAAGCAGGATAAAGAATAGAAATGGGAAAGCTGGAGAGAGATGATTTTTGAGGGATGGAGTGACAGAACAGAGAGGGAATGGCTTAAAACTGAGAGAGGAGGATGTTTAGGTGGGATTTTGGGATGGGATTCCTGGCTGAGAGGGAGGGCAGGCCCTGGGATGGATTCCCAGAGCAGCTGTGGCTGCCCCTGGATCCCTGCGGTGCCCAATGCCAGGCTGGCACAGCGGAATCCCTGCCATGGGAATGAGAGGCTCTTTAAGGTCCCTTCCACCCAAACCATCCCACCATGCTGTGATTCCATGGAAGTTTATCGCACTGAGCCG